ATGTAATGTATGTAATGTATGCAATGCATGCAATGTATGCAATGTATGTAATGTATGTAATGTATGTAATGTATGTAATGTAGTGTAATGTAGTGTAATGTATGCAATGTATGTCATGTATGTAATGTATGTAATGTATGTAATGTATGTAATGTATGTAATGTATGTAATGTATGTAATGAATGTAATGTATGTAATGTAGTGTAATGAGTGTAATGTAGTGTAATGTAGTGTAATGTATGTGATGTATGTAATGTATGCAATGTATGTCAATGTAATGTGATGTAATGTGATGCAATGTGATGTAATGTGATGTAATGTGATGTAATGTGATGTAATGTGATGCAGTGTAATGTAATGTGATGTAATGTAATGAAATGTAGTGTTATGTAATGTAATGTAATGTGGTGTAATGCAATGTACGCATGCATGGGTGTATGTATGTACATATGTATGTGTACATATACAGGTAGATACAAATATTTTTATGTGTATACACAATCTATGTGTATATATATATGTATGTATGTATGTATGTATGTATGTATGTAGGTATGTATGTATGTATGTATACACTTATTTATAGTTCCAACAAGAACAATGATGATGATGATGATGTTGTTGGGAAATGCCGTGTTAGTAAAGACGATAGTGACGACATCATACACAGAATATTGATGCGAATTCCACACCTCCAGGATCCACATGTCGAAGAGCTCCCCTTCGAAGTCCAGGCGCTCAAAGGACTGCATCATGTCTTCCAGCCTTCAAAACCAGTTAAGCGTTTGGGTTTGAGGGTTTATGGTTCAATTTCCCTGCGTGCGCGCGCGTGTGTGTGTGTGTGTGCGTGTGTGTGTGTGTGTGCGCGCGCGTGTGCGCTGCTTGTGCTTTGCTTGGAGGGGAGGTGTCTGGTACGGTCAAGGTTAGGGTCGAGAGAAAAGGGTTTGTGCTCGAGGCGTGTCATCGGTAAGAAGGGAGCAGAAGTATTGCGAGACCAGCAACAACAATGAATACGACAAAGCAACACTCGCTGAACCCCAAAGCCCCTGAACCCCCAAACCCCGAAACCCTGAACCCTCAACTCCAAACCCCCCAAACCCCCTAAACCCTCAACCCCAAAGCCCCTAAACCCCCCAAAAGCCCGCCACCCCCCCAAACCTTCAAGTCTACGCCTTGGGGGAGTTCCGAATCCCGGCGCTCTGAGCAAAACCACCCAAGTTGACCTCCAGCAGAAAGCCGCACACACCGACACACCGACACACACACACGCATATATATATATATATATGTATGTACGTACAGTACAGCTGTACATATATGATGTATATGATTATATACATACATACATGCATATGTATGTATGTATGTATGTATGTATGTATGTATGTATGTATGTATGTATATATATATTTATTTATTTATGTATTTTTGCATATATATATATATATGTATATATATGTTTATATGTTTATGTGCATATATAGATAGATACATAGATATGTAGATGTATATAGAAAACTACACAAACATGGGCTGACGAGGAGCCGGGGGCCGGAAGGGCTTGCTGTGGGTTTTCCAGGAACAACCCCAGCCCCAAAGGCCCCTAAACCCTAAACCCTAATCCTAAACCCCTGTAGGATTACAAACCCTAAAGGTTTAGGGTTTAGGGTTCCTTAGGGCTTGTAATCCCCATCTGGGCGCTCCCGCGAAGGCAGGAAGGAGGGTGTCCCGACCTCCAGCTCTGGCGGAACTCCGTCAAAAAACGCTACGTTTTGTGGTACGGTCGAGTCTTAAGGTTTAGGGGTTTAGGGGTTAGGGTTTAGGGTTTTAGGGTTTAGGGGTTTAGGGGTTTAGGGTTTAGGGGTTTAGGGTTTCGGGCGTAGGGGTTTAGGGTTAGGGTAGAGTCAGGGGGAACAAGAAAGCAGGTTTTCTATGAGAGCGGTCTGCGGCTCAGTGAGACAATTGATGAGTCCTTCCGCTGGGTGCGTGGGACCACCGTCGAGCCCCTTGTTTCAGAACCCGAAGAGAGCAGCTGGAGGAATACTCCTTCCTTGATGATGGGGAGGAGCGATGGGCTCTGAATCGGTGGTGTCCCATTGGTACAGCAATTATACCAAATATACCACCAAAGCCCCGTGCCCCTCTATGAGCATAGCAACAATCATACTTCATTATTAGTACATATCATTATGATTACTATTGTGATCATTTGTACATATCACTATGATTACTGTTGTGATTACTAGTACAGAACACTATGATTACTTCTGAACTATTGTGATCATTAGGATGAATAACAACTATAGTCTCCATTGTAGCTCCTTTTTTTGGTTTAACCAATTCTATATTAAGGACCCCAAAAGGTAACCCCAAAAAGGAACTACAATGGAGACTCTAGGTAACTCTTAAACCTTAATACTTAAACCCTAAACCCAAAAATAGGGGACCCCAATATAGCACCCTAAATAGTGGGATCCTTATTATAAGGACCCCAAAATAAGCTTGGTTCCTGAGTAGCCCCTTTATGATAAGGGCACCCTTTTTCCTACTAGTAGGGTTTAGTCAGGGGGCCCCAAAATAGAAAGGGCAAAAGGGTACTACTCAGGGACCTAGTAAGGTACCCTACTTATCAACGAGAACCCCGAGCCCTGGGGCTCCACTCCAAAGCATCTGCCAGCGTGGCAGGCGTAAAGGGTCCTAAACCCGAAGACCCGATGTCCCAAGAAAGGGGTTTAGGGTTTAGGGTTGAGGGCTTTAGCGTTTAGGGTTTTTAGGGTTTAGGGTTTAGGGTTTTAGGGTTTAGGGTTTACGAAAGTTTCAAAGGGGCCGGGGTGGACCTGAAGATCCACTGCGCGCAAGCGCGAATGGGCTCGAAACCCGGAAGCTGACACGCAGCTTGCTGCTACAAGTACTGGCTTCGATTATCAGCCCCGGAGAATCCTTTAAGACCCAAGGAACCCTTTACTATAAACATACCCCTCGAACCTTCTAAGCCCCGACAAGTTCCCTAGACATAGCCTTAAACAGTTGTATTGGGGTTTCGGGCTATTTGCAGTATGAGTATAGGTGTAGAGGGACTAGGAAAGGGCAGTATCACTAATTAAGTATTCAAACCCCCAAACCCAAACCCCGAAAACCCTAAACCCAGAATTCTCCCTCCGAGCCCTTGGGTTCCGGGCCGTTGCAGCTGGAAAGCTCATGTCCACCGCAAGGGCGAGTTTGTTGGCCCCCCTCTCCTGGAGGTCTCTGAGGCTTTAGGGTTTAGGGTTGAGGGTTTAGGGCTTAGGGGGTAGAGGGTTCAGAAGTGCTTGGATCAGGATCTTACTGTTTAAGGTTCTGCACAAAGGTCCCTTGTTCTAAGGCCCTAGGTCGTGTACGACTGGAATCTGCGCAATGAGGGTGAAGGCAAATCTTGCGAGGAACCATGGCGCAAAATACCCTCGAAACCCTCGAGCCCTAACTTTCTGGGACTAAAGCCCCTAGCCCCAACTTGACCGCCATCAAGCACTAAAGTCCTACAGGAACTAAGGTGCTTGAAGTCACGGCCCGAAACTCAAGAACCCTGAACCTAAGCCCCAAACCCTAAACCCTAAACCCTAAGCCCTAAGCCCTAAACCCTAAACCCTAAACCCAAAGCCCTAAGCCCTAAACCCTAAAACCCTAAACCTTGAACCCAAAACCCCATAAACGCGAAACTCCGACACTCGCGAGCCCTGAATGCCAAGGCCCCAAACTCCAAAAAACATCCTAGAACCCCACATTTCTACGTTTTAGGGTTTAGGGTTTAGGGTTTAGGGCTTAGATTTCCCCTAAACCCTGAACCCTAAACCTGTATCCCTAGGCCCTGGCTATATCCTGAATCAAAGAACGTACCCTTGCTGGTTCGACTATAGTACACTATACTATACGAGACTAGACTATACTAGACTAGACTATACTAGACTAGACTATACTATACTAGACTAGACTATACTAAACCATACTATCCCTATAATATCCTATCCTTCATCCGCACGTCTCGGCTCCTGAGCTGGCGTGCCATCCAGCATCTGCGCTACGCAGCTGTTGATTGCGCGGATGGCAATCCTGGAGCGTGCGGTGCTAGACTCGGTTTGGGGTTTAGGAATTTAGGGATTTAGGGTTTTAGGGATTTAGGGATTTAGGGTTTAGGGTTTGGGGATTTAGGGTTAGGGCGTGCTTACGGTTCGTTAAGAGGTCGAAAGCTGTCAAGGCCTCGTCATTACCACCATCATGGTCACAACCGCCAGCACCATCATCAATCCAATCCTGATCATCATCTCTCATCGTGGTCATCAACTTGATCGAAATGGTCCATCAGCATCATCATCTCCACTAGCAAAAACAGTCGGCGTCGGCGCCTGCATGCTGCTCTTCATGCTCGCGGGCATAGTGTTCCTAATTGTCGCTATTGATTTCATCATCTTCTTCGTCATCATTATCACTGACACTCCTCGTCCAAATCCGTTGTGGGCGTGGTTGTTGGGACTGCCTGCAGTTTCAAACTCTCCTGGGAAGGACAATAACAAAGTTTAGGATTTGCCATGCAGGGCGGCAAGCCTCTGAACACGAACCAACCCCAAATCCTAAACTCTCAACCCGGCCGTTCGGCCCAGGAATCCTCAAGCCCCTCAACCTAAACAGAAGCAGTCTTTGTGTAACGCCGCTCGATCAGGGTGGAGTCGTCTGCTGCGCTGTACCTGCCAGAAGTGAGGCTGGTACCTAAGGGAGTGCATGATTGCTTGGTCTTTGGATCCTCCGATTTGGATCCTCCGAGATCTGTATAAACGCACATACACACATACCTACCTACCTGCCTGCCTACCTACCTACCCACCTAACTACGGACAGACAGACAGACGGACGGACTGACAGACAGACAGACAGACCTATGCATATATAAATATATAAATATATAAATAAATATACATACATACATACATACATACATACATACATATATATATATATTTATTTATTTATTTATTTATTTATTTGTTTATTTATTTATTCGCCTCGGCCCCGGCCGAAGCGGTCAGAGGTTCCTATTCAGATTCCCTCTATGCCCCACCTCCTTTCTTGTCTTGTTTTGTTTTCGTTTTTTTGGGGGGCGGGTTCGCCTCTGTGACCCATAAATGAGGCTCAGGGTTATGCGGTGAAATCTCGCCTCCTGCAATGGATCTGGGGCTGTGTGTAGGGAGTCCCACCCACCGCGCTCCCCTGGTCCCTCAACCGGCCTTTTCTCGCGACCCCCAACCCCCCCCCCCCAGCCGCTCCGCACCCGTTCGCTCGCTTTCCCTCCATTGTTGCTTCATCTTTTCCGCTTGCACTGGCTGAGAGCGGCAGCCGTCGATGTGCTCCAAGCCTAAGGTCCTCGATACAAAGTACATGCCCGTTTGTTTTCAGTTCCTGCCCATTTTCGAACTCCAGTTTCTGAGCCTGCGTTCCACTTTAATTGTTTTTCTTGCCTCGTCTCTTTCCTCCGACGTCCAGTTTTTCCTCGCCCCCTTCTCTTTTGTTTTTGTCCGACGGTGGGCCGCAGTAAATTGGCACCAGCAGTTCCTTGGCCCTCTTTGTTTGCGGCCGGGCCGAGGCGGACGACGCGAAGCGTTTAAAATTACCTGTAGCCCCAGTGAGGGTACCTTTACCTATGCCAATGTGCAAGATCTGATACATCCCAAGACAAACACGTCAAACCGAAGCGTCGAACAGCTGCTATGATGATATGATGCTGACAGGTGGAACCCCCAAAATCCACACCCTCAGACCCTAATACATCCCGCCTCAACCCCTAAAACCTAAACCCAAAACCAAAACATCTACAGGCCGCATCCACCAAGGCCAACGAATGTCATTTCGAAAATATCCCTAAGACCCTGCTTTCAGTCATTCTCACAGATCCTATACTGCCAATAGCCCTTGTATGGTTCTGGCATCATGTCCTCCCAAAACCCTACTTTCATGTCTTATCAAAGCCCCTTTAATACCTGTGGCAACGACTTTGGACAGTATACAATAGCTTAATATACAATAATATACTATACTATACTATACTGTATACTAGACTATACTATGCTATAAGTTACTATAATGCACTATCACCTGGAGAAGTGCCCGGTGCAAGGTGCGATTGGGAACGAGCCTGAGCAAGCTCTGGAGGGGTCAATAAAGGGGAACCCAACAAAAGTGTTTAGGGTTTAGAGGTTTAGAGGTTTAGGGGTTTAGGGTTTTAGGGTTTAGGGTTTAGGGTTAAGGGTTTAGGGTTTAGGGTTTAGGGGCCTTTACAAAGGTTCCGTTTTAGAGGGGTCAGCAGGGGCTGCTATAAGGGCCTCTACGACTGACTGCAAGGTTGGCTTCGTCACTGTCATGGCAATGGATGACGATGCATTGAAAGAATCTTCCGGCGAGGGTTAAAGCTTAATGTAGGAGCCTTAGTGATTAGAATAGGGTTTGGTGGTCATATTATACTATAAGTATACTAAAGAGGGTTTGGGGCATATTATACTGTAATTATAATAAGGAACCCCAAAATAGTGTAGGTAATTAAGGCCTCGATATTACACAGGGTCCCTTTCAGGGTTCTACAGGGTTCTGTAGGGGTCCCTTTAAGCTGTTCGGACAGCTTCATTAGTCTCCCGCTGAAGACACGCTGGGGTCCCCACGCAGCAGAATAGATGCAGGTTTGAATCGTTGTTGGCCCTAGACCCTAAACACCTAAACCCCTAAACCCCTAAACCCCTAAACCCTAAACCCCAAAAGCATCCCATGTGATGCGGATATGCCTATTGTAGATGCAGGCGGGCATCTGCAAAGCATGGCAAGGTTCAGAGGCTGCTCCAGGGATTGCGAGGTTTAGCTTAGGGTTGAGGGTTCAGGGTTTTAGGCCTTGGGGTTTAGGGTTCGGGGCTTTCGGGCTTTAGGGTTTAAGAGTATTGGGCTTTGGGGCTTGAGGGTGCTAGGGCTTAGAGTTTAGGGCTTTAGAATGTTAGGTTTTAGTGAGAGAGCCACACGCCGCATGCAGCAACTACTAACAACAACCAATGCACCCAGTGCACGAAAACGACTGAAAATCTGACAGCTTACCTCCGAGGCAGTTCAGCCTCTTGCTTGGCAGGCCTGTCCCCATTACTTGGTTAAAAACAGAGAAATATTGATAACATGTGGGCTTGCACTTCGAGGACCCTACTGCCAGGTGTTCTGAAACAGTCGAGAAAACTATTTGATAGCTGTATAACATCCTGGGCCCTCAACCCGAAAACTCCAAGCCCTCATCTGCTGCTGCGCCTCACCCTCCAAACAGTAGTGTATGAGAACGAGGACCCAAAACTAAATGTGCACCATCTTTTCATGTCATGTGTGTGTACACTAAACTACACCACACTGTAGTCTACATACCCTCTAAGCTCTCTACGCTCTCTACATTCTCCATACCCCCTACTCTCCCTATACTCTCTATACTGCAAACGAGATACTGGATACTCA